TTCAACAGAGTCAATAACAGCTGCAGCAGGAGCAAGTGACGCAGCAGGCAGGGCATCTACAACTGCAGATTACGCAGCAACAATGGCAACATTCGTTGCAACAGGAGCAGCAGGCGCAGCTGCATCAACAGCTGCTGCAACAGCAGCAACATTAACGGATCCAGCAGCAACAGCTGCAACAACACCTGCAAAAGCAGATGCAGCAACAACACCGATTGTTAATGCAGCAGCAGCAGCAGCAGCAGCAGTTGCCACTGCAGCAGATCCAACACCAATTACAACAGCAGAAACTGCAGCAGCTACAGATAACAACAACAGCAGAGACAGCAGGTGGTGGAGTAACACACGATGCCACCGCAGCAGACGCAACAGGGGCAACTATGGGAGCAGCAACAGCTAAAGACTACAAAGGCAACGACAGCAAGAACAGGCGCAGCAGCTACAAACGCAATCACAATTTACAACACCAGTTGTGTCTGCGAAACCAACAGCTGCTGCAGCAACAACAGCAGAAAATTGCAACAATACCGCAGCACGAGGAAGGGAAGCTGCTGCAAATTCAAGGGGACGACTGCCAAAACCCCTATCATCAGATGGACACTGGAGGCCAGGCTGAATCCCATCCAAGCAGCCATGGACAGAGATGATCATCAACAGGTAGGTAACCTGCAACAGATAGCAAAGCAAGACTTTGAATCCCCCGTATCACTACGGAGATAAGAGGACCACCAGGGGGGTGAACAACCGAGCGAGTAGGGAACTGGGAGTCGGCAGAGCACAGGATGAGGAAATGACCCCGAATGACAGAACACCGATGTCAACCCCCAACACCCGCCCTCCTGACAGCTCCCTATCAGCGAAATTCAATGTGGAAGTAAGATTTGTAAAACGCAAGCTGCGATTTCTCACTGAATGGCTCCTTATGAAAATCTTATTTTCGTTCACGGACAAGCAGCCCCATGAACGCCTTTCGACCAACACACTGGGAGCAGGTGAGAAACACACTAGTGTACAGCCCCAGAGTGTTACACACACTAGAACCACTAGAACCCAGCTGTCGTCAACTGGAAGGAAGTGGGAGCGGCCATAGTCCTAGTGAGACTAGTGGTGAATGATTTCTGGACAGGGGAGAATCCTACGCTAAAACTTGTACACAGCTAGGATCTGCTCAGCACCGCCACAACGAACCAAAGGGAGAGCCATTCAGCCATAAGGGGACGGTTTGGCCTAGAACCTAGTTAGTGTGCTCTGTGGATATCGGCAAAACTAGGAAACCTTGTAACTCACTCATATGGACAACACGCAAAGTGTCACAAGCCACACCACGCAAAGCGTCACAAGCCAAACAACCCCCCCCCGTCGCCTACCTACCCCTTCCCCGTCAGCCAAATCAGGGAAGGAACAGCAACAGCAAGGGGATGAGACCCATGGCAGAGGCATACGGGAGAGCCTAGTTTCCCTTACCTCCTCGCAAGAACACATACAACTGATCGAGTTCATAGAAAACGAGCAGACTGAACACCACTCCGGGGGATGAGTACACAGAAAAGATTTCTACAGGGATTATCCAGCCACATTCAAGGCGCTAGCGAGACTGGAACAAGATGATAGTCTACCAGAACGAGTGCCATCAGGAGCCATCATCTTGCCGTTGAGAAGGAGTCAGGAGGAGGGTGAGTGAAGACCGGGCCTTCTACCACAAAAAAAGGAAGAAAATTGCATCGAGGGACAATCAATGCTGGACCCGTTTTCCAGCAGGTGCAGCTCCCCACCAATAGATGGAGCCGCTTGAGGCTACAACTAGTGGGGGATGCTCGTATCACACCCTCTAGTAGACAGCCAAGGCTTTCCCAAAAAAAAAAAAAAAAAAGGACAGCAAGACGGCCTTCCAACCACCCAGGTTTGACCCCGGACGCTTGGAGAGGCAACCCCTCAAAGGGCACGGCACAATCCTCAAGCGATCGAAGTGCTCGGCCAAGGAAACTAATGACGAGGGCCGTTTTGGCTGCAGTCCTACCAATCTCCCTGCCCTGCCTTTCCCCGAGCGTATATTTGCACTCGTTGTGCTCTTTGACTCAGCAGAGTCTTTTTACCCCACGAGCTGGAACCAACCTTTTCTGGCTCACCCACACACAACCGACGGACACGGCTGCGGCCACATTCAGTGCGAGCTTTGCCTGGACCATCCGCAAAGTAGTCAACCTTATCCATATCTTCTTGCAAGATATCCTGGAGGAGCACAATCACCATGAGCTAACTGCCAGCCTTAGAGGCCTGTACCTCGATGTCGTTCGTTATCCGTTGCTTTCGACGCGCAGTAGTCCCAGCAGCTGTCTCCCGTGATAGCTCAGGTCTCCACATATTTAGCCAACCAGCAGTCGCATAGAGCTCATGGATGGCGGCATTCCGATCAGTTCACGCGCAACATAGCCCAGGGATAGGTCACGCACGGAAACTGGGTTCTCGTAGGGGTTTAATAGAACATAAGGATCGAGGCGGTTCAGTATTGAAACATCATCTTGACACAAAAATAAGAAATTAGTGAAATCTGAGAATTTCGTGTTCCTTTTCATCGTTCGCTTTCACGCTCTCTATTTCCGTCACAGCCGCAAAAATAAGCGGAATACCACCCTTGACTTCTCATCCCAAAATTGCTTGTGCGGAGTCCCGTGCAGGCGGTCGAGGTCAAACCCCAGTGGCAATGCTTGCAGGTGCAAAATTGCCCAGTCAAAATGGAGCTTCAAAAATAAAACAGGTCGATATGATATTTAGGAAAAAAGTAGGTCTAGTATACATGGCTGCGGGAGCAGAAAACAGTGCCTGGCCTGAATGCCTCGTTTTTCCACCCCTCGTCTGTCGTATTTGCTGCCAGAAATCGGCGACATCGTTAGGTGTGAGACTGTGAGTCCGTAATTCCCTCATTCTGGGAGGCCGACTGGATTTGGCCACCCGACAACGTATCAACCCCTGGTCATATCAGTCGCTGAAGATTCTTGTTGATGTAGCCTTGAGCACTGGGCCAGTCCAAATAAGGTGGTGTTTTTTTCAAAAACAAAAAAAGAAAACGAGGCAAAAAATTCCAAAAATGCTGCTTCATCCGTAGTTCACGTCGTCACGACTAAATACTGACGTAAAAAGAAAAAAAAACTTGACCAAAACTGCATACAACTGCGTATACCAAGACCGATCAGAGTGGGCAAGACCTACCTTAGCTGATGAACCCAGGACCCTGCCAAGACCGATCAGAGGGGGCAAGCCACATACCTTAGCTGATGAACACCAAACACACTGCAGGTGGCCGTGGGGGATCGAACCCATGACCTCCTGAATGCCACTGGCCCTCCTCTGCGCTTTTTTTTTTTTTTTTTTTGTTCTCCGCTGCGGTTTTCCACTCGGCACATCGGTCTTTTTCCTTCTCCTTTGGCGGGGGGTGTGTCTACGTGTGTTGCAATGTTTGCTGTGCACAATCCCACGAAGAACCATGACTGCGCCGGACAGTTCATCAGATTTTCACCCACTCCTCAGGAGACTGAACCTCGACAGTCTGGAGAATCCTCGGTGGATGGCTGCAGGGGCGCCGGGGCAATGGGGTGAAAGCAGGGAGGCTAGGGCATGGGGGCAGGAGCACAGAGGCAATGGGGTCCGGAGGGGGGGGCGGCGGGGGGGGGGGGGGGGGGGGGGGGGGGGGGGGGGGGGGGGGGGGGGGGGGGGGGGGGGGGNGGGGGGGGGGGGGGGGGGGGGGGGGGGGGGGGGGGGGGGGGGGGGGGGGGGGGGGGGGGGGGGGGTAGGGCACGTGCTCAGGGGTATGGAACGCATGTGTGGATGCACAGGGTGTGGGGTGCGGGGACGGTGGCGCAGGGGCAGGATGAGGCAGGGGCAGGAGGTTCTCGGGTTCAGGCACTGGATGGTTGCAGGGGCTTGGCAGGCATGGGGTGTTTGCATGGGGCAAGGCAAGGGTGCAGGATGGGGCTCACAGGGGCGGGGAGGGCATCAGTGCATGAGAGGGGGTGCAGGGGCGCAGAGCTGTAGGGGTGTGGGGCCACAGAGGGGTGGCGAGTTGGGGAGGGGGGGGGAGCGCGTTTGTGTGCGTGTAAGTGTGCATGCTTCAAAAAGATGTCTCTGGGCCTCTGCACTCGTAGTTCAGCATCCTGCAACCAGCTCTGCAACCAGCTGAGCTTCACCACAGAAAAGCATGGAAACATATCTGCAATTACTGCACCGCAACAAGGTCTGAAATAGCGCCATAACAGAACATGCTTTGCTGAACCGCCAGCGGCACACTTTTTCTGTTTTGGCTGGCGCTGCCAGCTATTGTAGTCCGGTAGCCCCGGGCCTCCGAGATTTTAGAAGTGAGCAATTCGTTTGTGAAATACAGACCTAAGTTCGAATCCAGATGCACGACATGAAATAATTCTGAATTTGCAGGCGCCAGTCAGTTTGATGATGGTATCTCAAGGCTGGCGCCATTTTATTTTTTATCCTATCCCTTAAGCAGAGCATTGCAGCGGGAGAGGTCCATGACGCGCTGCGTGCCGGATTCGGGTTGAAGTTTTGGTGACGGGTGGCGGATGAAGGCGTTCGAGGGCGGGGGAGTGTGCAGAGGGGTGCGCGTACCGAAATGTTCCCTGCGTGCCATTAAACGAGAGTGCGCACCCCGGGGGCGGGGCACACGGCTGGCGTTGATGCGGACGAACATCTTGGAGGCGAGCCATCCGATATGCGGGCAGCTTTTTTTTGGCTTTGTTTTCCCTGGTCGGCCGTCGTTTTGTGTCCCCCTTCTCCTTTTTTTCATTTGCCGTGCCTGTCGTTTTGTGTCCCCCCCCCTTTTTTTTTTCCTTCCTTCTTTTTTCATTTCTCGCACGGCTGTCGTTTTGTGCCCCCCGATAGGCCGTCGTTGTTTCTGAGGACAAACATCTTGGAGGCGAGCTGACCGAAATGCAGTGTGATGTCACCCACTGCATTTGTTATTTCTGCGGGCGTAGCCGCACCGCCCTCACCGCGGGCACTTAGCTAGTTTATTTTTAAAGAAAGAGAAAAGTTAGAAAACAGTTACAGCAAACGACCTGATTCAGTACCAAGGATCCCTGATTCCCAAAGCTTCTGTCACTACTGTCTTCACCCGAATAGGCCGGGTCATCAGGCCCGTATCTATACTGAAAAGTGTCCCAAATACAAACACAGCAAAGTGGATTTCAATGTCCTCACTGCATTCACCAAATTGGCAAATTACTCAATGTCCCTCTCCATTCTGATGTGAATTTCAACTAACTACCACAACCCACTTCCCTGCAGGGTCAGCATGAGCGCCACTCCTTCCCTGCACATATGCCAAAGCAATTGTGTTTGTCATTGACCATACTTCGACATCGTCCTGCCGATAACATTTATGGATCAGACAGGTCCGCAAACGACAACACTTGCAGCCTTTTCTTTACGACCTGCAAGTCCGTTGCTCCGCGAAGATGAACAATCACAGGAGTCTTCCCATCAAGATGGAAGAAGTTGTTCTCGAAATGCGGTTCAGATGCGCCTGTTCCTCCTGGCCCCTTCCATCCAGAGCCATCTTCGTCCTTCCGCAAAGGCGAGAGATCATGCTTCAGACTCAACCGCACCCATAGGGCGGGTTTGTCAGCCTCCACGCTGATGATGCACCCGGCTGGTGACTTTTCAACCGATGTGCTGATCACCGGCTTTTTCAGCAGAAGATGCTTTGGCCGTGAGAACATGACAACGCTTGACGACGATACACAATCTTGGGCCTTCCTCAAGGCAGTTCCTTCGCCGGCCTCCGTCCATACCAACCAGACGAGAAGGTCCCGTTCACTATGTTCGTTCACGAACGCTAGACAATCCAGAGTGCCGATCAAGGCGTTTGACTGAGCGGGAATGCAGGCGGTTCCGCCGATTTGAGTGCTGAACAGTTCCTTGCCCGAGGCCGTTGTGACCCGCGCACTCGCAGTGCCTTTCACTTCATGCATTTTGTGATTGGAGACGTGGACCTCCACTCTCCCTTTCTCCTTGTCTTCCACTCCACTGATCAAAACGTCTGCGAAGAATCTCTTCGCGAAATAGTGGAGAGCCTTCCAACGGCCGTACACATCCAACGAGCTCCACGTTGGCGCGGGCCAAAGATCATTCAGCTGCCAGTACAAAAGCCCTGTGCACAGTGTGCAGATCACGCAGCAGAGTCACCACAAAGCAATCAGTCACCACCAAGCTTGTTTTTTTCTTTAAAACCACCAGTACCTCACCCAGCCATTTTTCTCCGATGCAGCAGCGGCTAAGGGGCCCGCAGATTTCGGGGATTGGGCGACCGGAGCAAAGTGGCTGACGTTCAATCAAAAGACAGAACAGAGGGGTGCTGAGTTTTTTTTTGTGAGAGCGGTCAGATACGTCTGGCTACCTCGACAAACTGTCACATAAGAGGGAAGCAGAGCCCTGCTGAGACAGAGACAGGTATTGCCCAAAAGGCTCATGAAATAAATAGCAAAGCTGCTCAATAACGCAGAATAACAACAACCCCATGACGATAGTTAAACATACACAGAGATCCGTGAGAAATTACTTCCTTTTGTTTGGGTTGTAATTGCCATTGCGAACGTTAAGAATCGTTGCGTGACGTATCAGGGTCTTCATTTTACCAGCCATGCTAGCATCCGCGATTAGCCTGCATCTGGTGAGACTTATTGGCCAGGTTCATCCGGATTGGTCGATATGTTCCATAGCAGAGATCCGGACCGTCCAGTGTCCGGTGTCCGGATCAGGTGTCCGGGTCAGGTGTCCAGTCCAAGTTCCAATCCAGTCCAGATGCCTTCAGATGAAAAGAATAAGATCATTCTGAATTGCCCAGGGGGGCTGTCAGTTCAATGATGGTATCTAAAGGCCATCGCCCTTCTGAACACATTTCCAGGCTGTCAGAGAGAGAAAAAAAAAAAAATAAAAAAATGGCGGTGTATCTTTCCATGATCTACAGGAGGATTCTTTCTTCCGTCCCCCCCCCCCACACACACACACAAAAGAAAAAAAAGAAAAAAGAGGATTGGTTCTCGCGTGGACATTTGGCCAGTTGGGGTAGGAAGCCCTGGGCCTCTGCTCCATGACCCTCCACATGCGCAAAAGACCAAAAAAAAGTTTGCGATGTATCTTTCCATGTTCTAGAGGGGGATTCATTCTCATATTAAACATGGAGAACGTGGAAAGATACAAGTCTTTTGTGCATGCGGAGAGTCGTGCAGCAAAAGCCCTGGCCCCGCTACTGGCCAAGAAAAGGGCAAAAAAAAGAAACGAATCCTCCTCTAGAACATGGAAAGATACATCACCAAACTTAATTTGCGCATGCGGAGGGTCGTGGAGCGAAGGCCCAAACGACAGAAAAAAGGAGAAGCCACGTGAGAAAAGAAACCACATGAAACAGCGTTGTATCTTTCCATGTTCCAGCGCCAGATCCAGTCTCATTTTGCAGAGTAGTGGAGAAGGGCCCTAAGGACCAACTGGATGCGGCTCCAAAAAACAAAAGCCAAAAAAAAAGAAACAAAGTAAACGCCCCTGCCAGCTGTGCAAGTAACCCGACGAAAGACTCTGCACTATGGACTTGTATTCGAACACGCGACGCGTGAAGAACTCACATGCAGTTTCCCTTGGGCCCGGCCCCCCTGTCCCCAGCATTTTCCGAAGACTGGCAGCTGGGTCTCGCAGGGGCGTCCTGCGAGACCCGGCTTTTCCTTTCGAAGTATGTATATGTACTATGTAGATAAAAGAAAAGAAAAAAAATCCATGAATATAATTGTGCCCTCCCCACAAGGCTTTGACATTTGAATTCACAATTTTTCTTTTTTCTTTGCACAAAGGGCGTTACTCAGGGCACACTCACACTACCACGTATTTTCGCAAAATCGCAAATTCTCTGTAGTTTTTCGGGTCACAAGAGGCACGTATTTTGCGTGTTCACACAAAAGGGCACGTAAATGTCAGCGGCCTGGACAGCCGCGGGCTTACATATTTTGCGGGGACCTCCAGAGGTCCCCGCACAATCGTATTTCTTTTTCCTCTACTGCTTTCTGGAATCTGAAAAAAAAAAAAAAAAAAAAACATTGTGCTGTCTGATGACTGCAGACAACGTATTTTCGCATCTCAAGCCCTTGAGAGGTCGCGACCCTGTCTTTTCTGCTTTGGGCAACGAACGGGTGACCAGTGTGACCCGCGCAGGTGCCATATAAACGCAAATTCACATACGTAAAATTTTCGGAAGTACATGCTAGTGTGAGTATGCCCTCAGTCCTTCCCCACGCGCCCATGGCTTCCCTGCAACTAATCTGGTACATTAAAAGAAAAAAAAAATGCCAAAAACACAGAAAAACTTCAAAGAAAAACAAAAAAGTTATAAAAAGTTGAAAAAACAAAGATTGAAGATTCCTCTTTCAGAGAGAAGATAGCGCCTGTCAGAACGCGTGCCTGCGACAAATCTGGGGACCTCCCCCGGTTTTCCCCCCGCTCACTGCTTGGGGGGCTGAAGGTTTTTTACATAGTCTTTTCTGGTGGCCAGTGGTGAAAAGAGAACAGCAATTCAGCCCTGGGTCAATGGGACAACCATACCAACTGGCCCACGTCAGTCGGGACTCAGGGACTTCAAGAACGGCTGAACAGAACACCCATACCCCGGGCCCTTCTCCTTCTATCCGCACATCTATACAGGTTTGTTTGTTCGTTTGTTCGTTTGTTTGTTCTCTCTTCTTCTTCCTCGTCTTCGTCTTCTTCTTTTTTTTCATTTAAAAAATAAAAACAAAAAATAATCCGGACATATATGGTCATCCGGACAAGAATCCGGACATGTACATCCAGACTATCTCCTGATTATCCGGAAATGACCGGAAATCCGAACGGTCGGATCAAACCGGGAAATCCAGCGCCCGGTGTCCGGATCTGTCCGGATGACTTGTCCGCCATTGCCATGGTATGTTCTAAGTTTGTGAATAGATAGCCCACAGTGTGACTGACCCCTCGTCGAGGGAAGCGCTCGAGTTGATGTCAACATCTCAAAATGTGACTTTAAGTTCTTTAACACAGACGGCACCGGCTATCTTTTCATTTTCTTCCCTACTTTTTTTCTATTTTAAAGGGCCTTAAAGGCTTAAACCCCAAGGCTCATTTCATTTTTTTTGAGTTGGCTGTCAAGGGGGGGAAAGGGGGGTAGAAATTGTTTTAAAGGGGCTAAGAGGGGTTAAAGGGGGATCCTTTAGTGTGATTTTGTTATTTTCTGTTTTATCTCCGACTCGGTGAGGAATTCTGATGTGACCCTCAGCGAAAAGTTGTTTGTATTGCAATTCTACACAACATATTTTTTCTCTGGAATTTTTTTACTTTCGGTTTTTTTTTTTTTTTTTTTTTTTTTGCGCTGGGGCTGCCTGGAACCCTGAGGGTCATGCCCGGCCAACCACCCGGGCGTGTATCCGGGCACAAGTTAGGTGCCCGGGCGCCCGGAAAACAACCTAGCCTTGAAGGCTTAAACCCCAAGGCAAAAGTGTTTACCGGCTATCAGAAAAGTAGGAAAGAAGAAAACAAAAAGATAGCCGGTGCCATCGGTGTTAATCCAACCCCAAATTTTCAGAAACACGCAAAGAGAGCAAGCGGCCTAGCTCAGTTGGTTGGGCACGCAAATGGCATTCAGCAGATCAGGAGAAGCAGTTAACAGAGCCCTTAATTTTCAGGAGGGTTTTTTCAGGGTCATTAAAACAAACGTCCCACATCGTTCAAGCCAGACTTGTCACCAGTCCATAGAGTGGACACCAAATAAACCAACAGCAAAAAAAAAAAAAGTGAAAAAACGGATCAAAAGGGCCTTAAAGGCTTAAAGCCTTAAACCCCCAGGCAAAAGTGTGTTTTCATCTATGTTACCAGTTGTCCAATGGCAGGGCGTCCTGGCTGGACAGTCAGGGGGGGTCCCGGACATCCGGCCCCGGACAACTCCATTTTTAGCAATTAAAAGCACGAAAAAAAAATAAAAAATTGGGGGTGTCTTTAATTTTATTTTTTAGTTTAAAATTTACAACGAATTTCGATATCATCCCAAGGCAACAGTTGTTCAGTTTATTTTTCTGCATAACATAGTTTTTTTTTTTCGTATTTTTTTCTGAGTGGGGATCCGGGCCACCCGGGTGACCGGCAGGGGCCCGGGGGAGGTCCCGGGCGGCCTGGCCGGGCAGGGCACCCGGTTGGGGGCCGGGCCCCCCCAGCGCACTCACCTGTCGGGGGATTTCGGACCCCCTTTGTGTGTGTGTGTGTGTGTGTTGTGTGTGTGAGAGAGAGAGAGAGA